GAGTCGACCAGTCATCAATGACTCTTAATATGACAACTTTATTTAAATTGCAATTTAATCACGATCGTTTCACTTTTATAAATTACATCACGATCTTCATTTTGTTGTAAATTCGTGCACGAGTTCTAGAATCAGCTCCATAAAAGATGATGTGTCCAGAAAATAAGTCGAATATTGTGATATAGTTTTCACGAGTTATGCAAATCGATGAACTGATTTGCAACAAATTAGAGGTTGTGATATGATTAGCAAAAGTAAAAATGTTGTGATTAAATTCTAATTTTGAAAAGGGTTGTCATATTAAGGGCATTTTTTTTTTTAAATGACAATGTGTTTATGCTATAAATTGTCGATTATATTAATAATATTTTAAAACTATTATAATTAATTGAGTCACATCCGGGCACCTAGCAATTTTCATAAATTTCTGAAAAAAAAAAAGTAGAGTTCTGAAAAGCCCTCCTTATGTTATGCTGGATTTTATTTAGAAAATTTAGAATCAGGAACAATTAAATGAAACATTTGATTATGCCCCCAAAATAATTTACCTTTTCTCAATTAAATAGTTAGGTGAACAAATTCCGAATTTATTTATTTATTTTGTATTAAAAAAAATTGCAGTTTCTTGGTAATAGCCAATGGTTTAGTTGCCTCCTATTCACTGGCCCAAGTCTTGAGGTGTGTGATGAATATGATGAGAGGGAGTGTGCTCTTCAATAAGCCCTTGGCTTGGGCCATTTTCTCAGGTGATCAGGTATGCAATTCCACTAATCCATTGTTTTTATACTCCAATTTGTTACTAATTTTTTTTTTTTTAAAAAAAAAGAGGAGCATATATTGTGACATTTATTAATTAATGAAAAAAAACTCGATTTCATGCTTTTCGTGTTGGGCTCGGCCCATCTCAGGTGATGGCCTACTTGACCCTGACTGCAGTGGGGGCCGCAGCCCAATCAGCTGTTCTGGCCGAGTTTGGCCAGAACGAGTTGCAGTGGATGAAGATATGTGATATGTACGGCAAATTCTGCAACCAAATTGGAGAAGGCATAGCGACAGGGCTCCTCGTGAGCCTCTCGATGGTCGTATTATCGGCTATTTCGGCATTCGGCCTCTTTCGTCTATACGGAGAAAACAAATCGAAGCTCGTCGGGAGGTTGTGAAAATTGGGTGCTAGGTTAAATTTGTCTCCATGTATGTGAAAGATATGGTTCATTTGGAAGTGTAATAAAGAGAATTGGTGTTTTGTAATAAAGATATTGTGTTTGTGTTTTGGTGGAAAACAAATAAGAAAATGTGTCCAAATATTTTGGTGCATGCTTTGAACATTTGATCAACAAGAGTGACACTACAAGTATTTTCAGTACTATGGCTATCCATGCTTTTGTCATTTTTTTTTTTTTGGGGGGG